TGGCTGACAATAGCGGTTCCCATTCTCTGGAGGCTTATCCTCCACCAACAGGGTACTTTATGTGGGAGACTAACCCAACCCTGGGATAGTCTGCAGGAACTTACTTTTATATCTGTTCTAAGATAAGTGATGTTTCCAGGAATAGAGTTATATTCATGGGGCAGAAGATTCATGTACTGCCAGTGAGAGGGTCAATATGCCTACTAATGAAACAGGAGGGCAGCCTGAAATTAAATCAATTATCTCAGGTTCTTACTATCTCCACCTCATTTTAACTTCAAATCATAGCTCCCCTAAATCAATCCAGTCCTAAATTTTCACTTAGTACAAAGAGGACACACAAACTTTCAGACTTAAGCCATTCCCAGAGACTGACTCTTAGTCATGATTTCCTACTGCTATGCCACTTATATTTGGAAAGACCTATGAGCAGAATGCAGTTCAGGAGAAACTTAACTGATGTAAAATGTCAAGTGCCAAAATGTGACCCACATGGTTCACACATTGCACCCATACTCATTTTAAAATCTCACAGTTGGGCTAAGTTCCAGGATAAATTTAGAATACAAGACTGATAAGACAATAGAAATTCTCAGATCCTTATCACTCTGCCAGACTATGAATATTATTGTATTCAAGTACAAATTATCAGAGAAAGCCAGGGATGTAAAAGATACCTCCACCATGTCCCCTTTTCCACATTACTGCAGGACAGTTAAAGTAAATAAGATTGTTTTAACTTGATTTATATTGCTCCAGAGCAACAACTCTGATCCTTGGGCAAGACTTACCAAGAGACAGAGAACAAGCTTACTGTCTGAAAGAACTTATCAGCAGTACTCATTTATGAGAAAATATCACTCAAGAAGGCATATGCCAAGTACTAGATAACAAACAATCTTATTTGAAACCAAGTAAAGGTTAAGTGTGAGGGATTTGTGAAGCTTCATCTAAGTTGAGTGAGTTTATTGGCTATTGGGTTAAGGAATAACAAAAGTAGGTTTCAAGGTGTCTTCATTTTGAGGTGGTGAATCACACAAGGCAAAGGTGGTTTGGTAGCATGACTCCAGACTTTTGGCTGAAACTACAATTCTGTTTTCTTTCTGAAAAGAAAACATGGGGCTCTAGAACACAGTTCTGGACCTACCTCCTTCTCCAAAGGAGACCGGAAAAAAAAAAAATCCCAGTAGTCTAATTATCCAGCATCAAGAGAGATACCGGGGAACAATTTTGAATATAAATAACCTCACAAATTAATCCTGTTAGCAGTCTTCGAAGATACCCTTTGAACCAATTTCTACACCAGGACTCAGAAATTACATCTCCCCTTAATTTCTGATACTCCATGTATGGCTCTAGTGACTATGGGAGAATGGAATGGAGGTATTCGAGAGGAAAATAAAGATGACCAATTTTCTTGTATGTCTCTTCCACTACCTAGTTGTTGCAAGAGGGTAAATAGAGAAAAGAGGGAAGACATCTGTATCTATGGAGTCTGCTAGGTATAACAATCTCCAACATAAAAGTTCAATTTCCTAGAAAATGCCAACTCTGAAAAAAAAACAGTCGTTTTATGTGTTGGGTGCTTACATGAATAATTAAGAGTTCTGAATTGCTATCTAGACGTTCTTGTTAGCTCAGGGCTATTAAGAACATTTTTCCTTCAATAGAAATTTTCTTTGGAAGAAGCAGGAGAGAAAAGAGACTGACTTTGGGAGTGAATGTGCAGGGTGGGCTCATCATGACACCTGGTCTCTATATCACATCTCCTCCTCCTCTTGAAGCAGTTCTCTAGGCTCAGTTTTCTTTATCTTGCATCCACCTATGGCCCCTTTCTGCCTTCTTCTTTCTCTGCTTTGTAGCTCCCACATTTTCAGCTTATATATTAGCCAATGAGGATATTAGTATTATTTTGAAATCACTGTTCTTATGTAAGTCAGTTGAACAATCAGCATACCAGCCAGTGATCAATACATTAATCACAAAATAATTAAAATTTTATAAATAACCTCACAATCAATATGTCACACTCTGTCATTGCTTCCAGGGCCATTGATGTATTAGTATAACAGTCAGGATGGTAAGCATGTTAGTGTTGGAGTGGGAGTAGAACCGTGTTTTTTACTACAATGAATTAGTTAGAGCCACTAGGTTTGAGAGACTAGTAAAAGAATGTTAACAGTAAAAATTTTGTGCTAAGTTTTATGCTAAAGTCTGGTTGATGCAAAAGACATTGGGGTTTAGTTAGAGAGGGCAAAGTGAGAGACAATATAGAAATAGACACAACAAAAGTGTAATTGATACAGGAAGAAAGACACAGGATAACAAGAGGATGGAGATGACGTATAGCTGCACCCTACGTACATGAGCAAATGGGGCAGAAATGATTAGTGCTGCCCAGCCAAGCCCAGCCTAAATAAGTTGAACCATGCATGAGAGTGAAAAATGAATGTTTAATGTTGTAAGCCATTGATGCTCTATAGGGCTTTGTCATGTGACAATTCTGTGTTACTAGATAATTGGTACAATAATTTACATAAACTCTGTAAATATTAGTTTATTATGGAACTCTACAAACTCTTAATAAAATATGGATAATAGTAATACTTTGCATTAATTTTCTGTTATACATAAATTACTGCGAATTGAACTGCTTAAAACATTATTAGTTTATTATATCACACTTCGATAGGTCTGTACTCTAATAGGCTTAACTGGGTTTTCAGCTTAGGGTTTCATAAGGTCAAATTCTAAATGTCAGGAGGGCTGGGCTTTTATCTGAAGGCTCTGGGGAAGACTTCGCTTCCACGCTCATTCAGATTATAGTCAGAGTTCAGTTTCTTTTCTTTATTCTTTGAGATGGAGTCTCACTCTGTTGCCTAGCCTGGGGTGCAGTGGCACAATCTCTTGCTTCCTGCAACCTCTGCCTCCTGGGTTCAAGTGATCTCCTGCCTCAGCTTCCCAAAGTAGCTGGAACTGCAGGCACTGGCCACCATGTCTGGCTAATTTTTGCATTTTTTGTAGGGACAGGGTTTCACCATGTTGGTCAGGCTGGTCTGACCTCAGGTGATCCACCTGCCTCAGCCTCCCAAAGTGCTGGGATTACAGGCGTGAGTGAGCCACTGCACACAGTTATCAGAGTTCAGTTTCCTATTGCTGAAATCTGAGGTCTCGGTTTTTTTTGCAAGCTGTTAGCTGGGACCCCCTCTCTGTACCTAGGGGGTTCTTCCGTTCCTTCTTTTGTGACCTCCTTATATTTCAAACCAGCAACTGCCCATGAACCTTTCTCAAACTTTGAATATGTCTGGTTTCCTATTCTACTACTACTCAGTGAAAACTCTGCTTTTTAGAGGCTCATGAAATTAGATTAGAGTCCCCCAAGTAGTTACATTTTCAATTAACTCATAGTCAACAAATCAGTAACTTTAATTACGTCTGTATAACCCCAAGCATGATATTGTGTAATATTCACAGTCCCAGATATTAGCATAGGAAATCTTGTGGTAAAGAGGTGGATTTTAAAATTATGCCTATCACACCTATTTAAAAAATAGCTAGTGAAAAAGCCTTTCTTTTGTAATACGTGTATTAGTTTTAAAGTATGTGTGAAATAATTTTTATTCTTAACATTTTTTTGATGAAACACAGTGTGTGAAAGGGTGGTAGAGAGCAGCTGCATTCCTATTTCTCCACATCCTCTCCAGCATCTGTTGTCTCCTCTCTTTGATGCTCGCCATTCTAACTAGCATGAGATGGTATCTCATTGTGGTTTTGATTTGCATTTCTCTAATGACCAGTGATGATGAGCTTTTGTTTTCATATGTTGTTGGCTACATATGTGTCTCCTTTTGTTCATATCCTTTGCCCCCTTTTTGATGGGGTTGTTTTTTTCTTTACAGGTACATGTTCTTTACACATGTAGCATCAGAACATTTCCTTAAACAGTAGTTAGATGCTTTGTGATTTCTTCTGATTCTGATTTATTTTTCATACTGAGGTCATTTTATGAAGAAAACTGCTAAGTCCTGAAGACTTGCCTTTAGGATTCTGAACTTATGGTTACATAAGACTGCAGCAGAGCAGGTAATAAGTTTCTTTTCTTTTTTTCCCAGCCTTGGTTTGTGACAACCAAGAAAACAGAAACAGTGGTGATGGTCAGCATCTTTAAGCTGTGGAAACATTAGAATTTTACCTGTTACAGAACTGCAACAGCACCTCAGGAGTTTAGAATTGATGGAAAAGCAGAGAGAGATAAGAAGAGACAGAAAACCAACTAAGTATTTGATTATGGGAAATAATGTTGGAAAGAGCAAGCGGTAGAAAGCAAGCCAGTAAATAGTGAAAGAACAATAAAAAATATAATTTTATGAAGGTATTTGGAGAAAATAAATGAGATGAAAGAATGAAAATGTTTCTATCTCAAAAGATGAATTAGGTGTGAAATGCTTATAGCAGTGATGCCCAGATATTGTATTGCATTGGAATCACCTGAGGATCCTGAAAAAAGCAAATTTGATTCAGAATGTTGGAAGGGGCAGAATCTGAGGATGCATTTCTAACAAGTCCTCTGCTTGTTAGATGTATTTAGTCTGTGACCCACAATTCTGGTGGCCAAGTTCAAGTAACTGTTGGAGTGACAAAGCATACCATTAGAAGTGATGGTGATGCATGTTATAGTGCATAAACACTGACATTAAATTTCAAAAACTGAGAAAAATTATATTAACTGAAAAAATTGTCTTTATCATAATTGTGAAATATAAAATGAAAATAAAACAATCATTTCCAAAAGGTTAGTAATCACAGCAAGAAAACAACTAAGCCAGATTTTTATCCATTTATGTATATTTGTCTTATTTGTTTTTGTTATCACTGCTTTTGCAAATATTTATAAGTACCCTCAAAATAGTTGGGGATAACATACTTAAAATTAATGAAAAATCTTTTAATTTGAGAAAAATTGAACAATTAACTCTGTATTTTCTCTAATTAGGGAAAGACCATAGTCTCTACATGACTATTCTTCTTCAAGAAAATAGTTGCAGAGTCAAATTTATCACACCAATTAACTATCCCCACGCAGGAAGATTGGGGGCTCTTGGTTTCAAGGTTTCAAGAAATTGATCTTGACCTGTGGACACATGATGTGGCCAAATATTACTGCAGCCCCTTTTTTGCTGACTGGCTTTCCAGGGCTGGAGGCAGCTCATCACTGGATCTCCATCCCCTTCTTTGTCATTTATGTGTGCATCCTTCTGGGCAATGGCATGCTCCTCTACCTCATCAAGCATGACCACAGTCTTCATGAGCCCATGTACTACTTCCTCACCATGCTTGCAGTCACAGACCTCATGGTGACATTAACCACAATGCCTACAGTAATGGGTGTTCTATGGGTGAATCACAGGGAGATCAGTAGTGTGGGCTGCTTCCTGCAGGCCTACTTTATTCCCTCCCTTTCTGTTGTGGAATCAGGTTCCCTCCTGACAATGGCATATGATCGTTTCATTGCCATCCGCAATCCTTTGAGATATGCTTCTATTCTCACCAATACTAGAGTCGTAGCATTAGGAGTGGGAGTGTTTCTAAGGGGTTTTGTATCCATCCTGCCTGTAATCTTGCGTCTTTTTTCATTTTCATATTGCAAATCTCATGTTGTCACACGTGCTTTCTGCCTTCACCAAGAAATCATGAGACTGGCTTGTGCTGATATAACTTTCAATAGAATTTACCCTGTAATTTTGATCTCTTTAACAATTTTCCTAGACTCTCTGATCATTCTCTTCTCCTATATTCTAATTCTTAAGACTGTTATAGGCATTGCCTCCAGTGAAGAGAGAGCCAAAGCCCTCAATACTTGTATCTCCCACATTAGTTGTGTTCTTATTTTCTATGTTGCAGTGATGGGTTTGATATTCATCTACAGATTTGGAAGGAATGTGCCAGAGGTTGTCCACATTATCATGAGTTATATCTACTTCCTCTTTCCTCCTTTAATGAATCCTATCATCTATAGCATCAAGACCAAGCAAATACAACATGGTATTATCCGCCTTTTATTGAAACATAAGTTTAGTAGTTAAACTCGGGTCTGGAGAATCAGACACAGACACAAAAATGAAGACAGAATGAAAAACTAAAGCCTGGACTTCTTTCTTAGCCAAGAGCAAGAATATATTGGAAGACAATGTTTCACTCAGAAGGGCTTAAGGACTTTACTATAGGGTTGGGGCATAGCCTAAGATGCCTGGTGACAGAAGACTGAGTAGACTGCATGGAACTGAAAAACTCCATATTTAAATTCCTCTTTCCAACGCACCTGAAATTAACCACTTCGGTGAAATTTGAAAAAAAAAGACAGAACATATAATCTTTTTGAAAAACTTTTGCATCAGTGTGCATACATGTTTATGTGTTTGCATAGGCTAGTGTACACATGTGTAAAATTTTTTTGATCATCATTCTCTGGAAATAAATTCTTAATTAAAATTTTCGTTATTCTCATGGCAAATATAGTGAAAAGAAATTAACATTTTAAATTTACTTTTAAATAAGTAAGTGTTGGTTATCTTTTTAAATGTCCTCTACCCTGAGTTAGAGTACTTTCCAGGGCCATGATTTGCATTTAATATTTTTGATATAGTCATAAGTCACTTACAAAGTATTTCAATAAGAGTTTTTAAGTTTTCAATACATTTATTACAGTATGGCTGGATTTTATAAAAAGTATATCTCTTTACCTTATTCTTCTTTAAATATTCTTTTGCCCAAACAAAATCTTAGAAGGGAAAACCTAGACAAGCTTCCTGTCAGCTTGCAAAAAGTAAGAAGTGAGTTTATAAGGGTACGTTTGCTCTTCAGATGATTTTAACGTGCTTTTCCATAGATCTTTGAGGAAGCTCATATAAAATTGAAAATAATCTATGCTTGATTCTTTCTCTCAGGTGAAATTGTTGAATCAACCATTCTATTCTATTTATTAAAATCAAATAAATGGTCTTTAAGATTTAAGATACTTTATACTAGTATGTACATGTATAATTGTGTTTGCATGTGTGTGTGGACATCTGCACGTGTGGAACAAATCTTTCAATATTTTATCTTAGATATAATTTCTAACCTCAAACTTGTTTTTAAACATTTCACAATAAATTTAATGAATTGTAATACATTTATTGTATTATTTTTATAGTGGTATTATATATAATTTGACACTATAGCCTTTTTACATTGTGTAATTCAGTGGCACACATTACATTTGCCATGTTGTGCAATCACCACCACTATTTCTAAAATTTTGTGTTACACCAAACAAAAACTCTGTATTGATTTATCAGTTACTCCCCAGTCCATGTTTCTTCTACACTCTGGTAACTTCTAATCTACTTTTTGTCTCTATGAATTTGCTTATTCTAGGTAGTTTGTGTAACTGAAATAATGCAATGTTTGTTCTTTTGAGTGTGACTTATTGCTCTTAGGATAGTTTGGAAGGTTTATCCATGTTGTAGCATGTGTCAGATATACTTTTTATAGATTAATAATATTCTATCCTATGTATACAACATTTTGTTTATATATGCATCGATAAACATTTGTATTCTTTCTATTTCTTGCCTACTATGAATAATGCTGCAATAAATATCGACTTAAAAGTGTCTATTTGAGTCCTTGTTTTCAATTCTTTTGGATTTATACCTAGGAATGGAATTGCTGGATCATATGACAATTTTATGTTCAATTTTTTGAAAAATCTGTTTCCCACAGCTATTGCCATATTTCACATTCTCACCAGCAATGTACGAGGGTTCAAATTTCCCCACGTGCTCACCAACACTTGTTATTTTCCATTTTTTTTATTACAACCATCTTAGAAGGTGAGTAGTAGTGTATCACTGTGGCTTTAATTTACATTTGTCCATTGGCTGAGAATCTTAAACACCTTTGAATGTGCTCATTGACCATTTGTATGTCTTCATTGGAGAAATGTATACTGACTTATTTTGAAATTAGTCTTTGCAGATGTTCTTTTAGATATTCCTCTAGTCTGAGTTGGGAGACTCCTTGAAACTTTAAATTGCATTTCATGCTTTCCTAATAAAAAGTCTTAAATCCCTCACAATGGATAATTTCTTATACTAATTAGTGAATTATTGACAGCTTCCCTTCAATACACCCCAGATTCTACCTAAATATACCTGTCTACCTCCTCCCACTCTGAATATACTGCTTTTCCAAGAATAATCCTTCAAATATTCCATGGAAGAAGAAAATGAGACAAGCTTTCTGGAGGAAGGAAATTTTCAGTTATAATTGCTTAAATAAATGTTTCACTCAACTAGAAATTTTATGGTAGTGCAATGCAGAGAAACGATAATACAATCCTTCCAGACCTAAAAATATATGGCATCCGCATTTTACAGGTACATGTTCAGGAAGAAAGATCAGAACTGGTGATTTGTTTGCAAAAAATCTTTGCTCTGGACTTCACTGAGTAAAGTTTAATATTGGGAAGACAGAAAAATGTGGAGAGAAATGAGATGCAATCTATGGAATGCTTAAAAAATAGGTGTAGGAGCAAGTTTTCTTTACGTCCTTGTTAAAACTTTTTCATATTGATTCAAATGTAAAACCTATTATTTATTCACACATTTTATATGCTGTTGAGTACAATGTTTAAGCTATAGACAGTGGGTATAGACAAAATCTTAAAATCTATTTATCCCCCAAAGACTTCCTCTGTTTCTCATAATGTGCCCAGTAAGTTCCTGATGTTTATTACCGTGTTAGCAGAAAATTTCAATCCAGACCATTTCCATCTTGATTTGCTGACCTGGGTGCAGTTTCTTAAGGCAGAGGAAAGACTGTCTTTGCAAGTTATTTTGGAAGAATAGAAACTGTGAAAAATGTATGGTTTATTTGGTGCTCATGGGATATTTTTATACTGTATGCTACTCCAATATCTAAATTATATATCTAGGCTCCTCTTTTACAGCTTTATGTTAGGTGGAAGGGACTTTAGCTAAGTTGGCTAAGGCCCTTATAATTAAAACTTATTTGTTTTTCTCATGCTTTATTGAGAAAGATTCCATCTTTCTTCCATGAAACTTCAAGCCATAGTTTTTTCAATAACCTGAATTTATGTCCAAGAAGAAAGGGAGATTCAATCTATCTTCAGTGATGACCAGTATCACTGAATGGTTATCTGGGCCTGGTGCGGATTGTGAATATGACAATATTTGAATCCCTCTGAAGAGGTATAAGAGACGGACACTCACTTTTGAATATGCAGGGTTGTTTCCGTGATGGAGGAAACAGATTGGAGGAATGTAGATTTATGGGTGAAGTTGTCCCAAACTTCGGCTTGGAAGTTGAGTGCTCAGCTCTAGGTGCTACCATTGATGCTAAAGGAGAACTTTTCCAAAATGACTTTGGGGAAATACAATTTCCTATCATTTTGTTTAGTTGACACAAATTCTTACTCAGCAGGGTCCCAAAGGGCAAGTGGTCTATATTATCAACTCCTTTATACATATTTAGACACTTCCCAGGTATCAGGTCATTACCAGGAACATTAGGTTAGTGGATTCATCTTCCATAACCTCATTAGATTGACTCACTGTAACTTCTTTCAACATAATCTCCAAAGGACAATCTTTGCTGCATGCCTTCAACACACTAAAATGTCTCCTTTCAGTCTTGTCCCTGGACTATTAGGCGAAATTGCCTTGCATAGATATGACATGGTACACAGTGATTTCAATTATGACTTTCTTTCTCTTTCTATATGGTAACATAACTGATACAACATAAAGAAGAAAAAATGAAATATAATGTCTGATATATTATTGTTGGGGTATAGTTCTTTTTTGGGAATAAGAGTTTCTTTTCATGCATTGGTCTAGCTAGTTAGTAGTATAGATAGATCACAGGAAAAGGTAGATTTGGTGTATTTAGACTTCAACAGAACATTTTCAAAGTAGTCTTTTCATTGGTGGAAGAATATAAGTTCCATAAGTGCTTAAGACATTTTATCTTGAGACTCACTCGCAGCCAAAGTACTAAGAAATATAAAGACACGTAAATGTCTCTTCCCATATGGTCACAGCTACTTGGAAGGCTGAGGTGGAAAAATTGCTTGAGCATAAAAGTTTGAGGCTGCAGTGAACTATGATCTCACCACTGTACCCATCCTGGGCGACAGAGTGAGACATTGTCTCAAAAAAGAGGAAAGAAAGGAGACAGAAGGAAAGAAAGAGAGAAAGAAAGAGAGGAAGGAAGGAAGGAAGGAAGGAAGGAAGGAAGGAAGGAAAAAGGGAGGGAGGGAGGAAAGAAAGAGAAACAAAGAAAGAAGGAAAGAAAGAGAAAGAAAGAAGAAAGAAAGAGAAAGAAAGAAAGAAGGGAGGGAGGAAGGAAGGGAGAAAAAGAAAGAAAGAAAAGGAAGGAAGGAAGAAAGAAAGAAAAAAAGAAACTTTAAAAACTCTCTCTTCTTCATGTTGTTATGGATTTTTCTCCGCATTATGATTGATATAAAAATTGGAGACATGAAAGTACTAAGCAATAAAGAAAAGAATATAGCATTTTTTGGCATGCTTGAACTTGTAATTTTAATACAAACAAATGTAAAGCTTGTAAAGGTCTACAATTTGGTTACAAAACCAATGTCTTGATTACGTGAACATCATTCATTTACTTAGCTAGTACTTACTGAGCAACCACCATATCTTAAGCTCCATGTTAAGCACTGAAAATGCCACTCATTAAAATCTTTCAGAAGTTTTGTTTACTGTGAGTGCAATGAGAATTGACTTTATGATACGGTTATTAAAAAAGCTGTCACATCTTAGCTACAAGTCTAGATTCAACAGGCTCTGCAAAATGAATTCTGGAATGCATTTGTTGCTGTATGACCTAAAATCACATTTTGGCAAAATTTTACCTGAACATCTGAGAGAATATTTAGTTTTTTCCCCTACATATAAACAGGTGATAGTTAACAGAGTGCAACTTACTGCAAGTGTCACATGTATTATGTAGAATATATATTTTATCACTATCTTAAATCTGAAAGACTAAGTTTGACATGTATCTTGAGATAAGAGTTTAGGGTAGCGTTGTGGATCTGCACAATCTTAGACTGCTTAAATAGAAACTTGGCACACGATCCAACTAAAAAAGTGATTTCAGAATGTGACTAATATGACACACCCGGATTATTATGATCAACAAGGTGGAGCATCATAGGAAATAAATCAAGATTAGGAATAATTACATGATAAACATTTAAAAGACTGGTGCTATTGTTCACCCATCAGGAAAGAAGTCTGAGGGTTTTTAATGCAGATATGTTTATACATCTAGAAAAAATTATGTGTGAATGTAATGGCTAATATGTGATTGTGTTTATTCTGGAGATCAGGTCTAAATATAAGGAGTAGATATTATATTTTTTCAGAGAATTCTATTTCTCTCTCTCTCTCTGTGAATACACACACACACACACACACACACACACACACAGAGAGAGAGAGAGAGAGAGAGAGAGAGAGAGACATGAATACGTGTATTGATAGTAAATACCATATATTCATATATTTATACTAAATAATTAAATGAAACACACACATATATATATGAATGAGTTAACTCATTGTAGGGTAGTGAGGTTTGAATCAAATAGAAAGAATAAATAAATGTCTGATGAATAACCATCAAGACAAAATGGTTAGATGGTGGCTCAAGGATTTTGTAAAAGGTTGGATTAGAGAATATAATACACAGTTTGAAAAGGGGCAATGTACTTAAAATGTTAACATTTACAAAGTGACTGATCTTCCCCTTCTAAGGTCATGGCACGTTTGAGAGTGACTCATTTTTTATTCACTTTTTTTTTCTTTATCTCTCTCTTTTTTTTTTTTTTTAAACAGACTTTTCTCTGTTGCCTATGCTGGAGTGCAGTGGTGTGATCTTGGCTCTCTGCAACCTCCTCCTCCAGGGTTCAAGGGATTCTCATGCCTCAGCCTACAAAGTACCTGGGATTACAGTTATGTGCCACCATAGCCGGCTTATTTTTGTAATTTTTAGCAGAGATGGTGTTTTGCCACGTTGGCATGTCTGGTCTCAAACTCCTGAGCTCAAGTGATCCGCCCTTCTCAACCTCACAAAGTGCTGGGATTACAAGCATGAGCCACTGTGCCCAGCTGTTTTTAATTCACTTTTCATCTCTCAGTCATTAGGCATTTATTTCTGCCATTATATTGACATTGTCAATATTACTGAAGACCTAGTTGTCCAAAACAATGAACATTCTCTATCTTTATCTTAGTTGATAATTCTATATTTTTCACCATTAAACTACCATAAGTATCCACACCTATAAACTTCCCTTTTCATTGTTTTTTTAAGTACAGATCAACTTTGCTACCCTCTTATATCTCTGCCTACTTAGGGGTCTATTTCCTTTGAGATCTTCTTTCTTTTTACTGAGAGTAAAGTTTTTCCTAGGTTCCCAGTGTTTCTATCCAAACCTCTTCCATTTTTTTTTTTTTTTTTTCTCCCTGAGTCAGAGTCTTGCTCTGTTGCTCAGGCTGAAGTGCAGTGATTCAATCTAGGTTCACAGCAACCTTCTCCTGCTGGGTTTTTTAAACCAATTCTCCTGCCTCCGCCTTTGAAGTAGCTGGAAAAACAGGCACTTGCCACCACACTTGGCTAACTTTTGTATTTTTAGTAGAGACAGGGTTTCACCATGTTGGCTAGGCTGGTCTTGAACTGCTGACCTCATGATCTGCCTGCCTTGGCCTCCCAAAGTGCTGAGATTACAGGTGGGAACCACTGCGCCCAGCCACCTCTTCCATTTTAATTTATACTTAAGGTAAGATATAAAAACCTCACTTAAAAGTTGAGATTTTTCAGATAGTTTGTCTTTATCCTATGACTTCCCTTCGTCAGTTAGCTTTAAATGTTTATTTCGATATCTTTATTAATTTCTTCTATAGGAATACAATTTGGGGGCAATGTGTGGAGATAAAAAGGTGGATTCAGGGGACACTGATTGTGCAGGGTGCTTGCAGATTATCTGGAGCTAAACGGAAGGCTTTTTCTTTCTTTTTTTTTTTTTTTAACATGATCTTAATATTCTCTTTTCTCCTTCTCATTTTAGTTTATGTCTTTATAAATGGTTTCCTGAGCAGTTACTAATCCTCTTGTCAGCATGGCAAGCTGAAGAAGCCCTGGATGATTGATCTATGTTAATCTCAGAAACTCTTGAGGACCCTGGGTTAGCTGTTTTCAAAGAATCAGTGCAAAGGCATTCAGAAAGGGGCAAGAGAGTAGTGAGCTCCAGTCATGTTTGCATCCCTCATGGGGCCTCCGTGCTTGCCTGAGAGTGATAAATTCCACCAAAGTTATGACTGTCACTATTGTCATGCATTACATTCTAGGAGACTCCCTAAACTATTAGGGAAACTATTATCCCTGGAATATTTGGATATGTGAACAGTTTCTGGTACCACCAAACTTGCCACAATTAAATGCCAGCGTAGCTGCTGCTAGAGCCTGCAGATATTAAATAGTGGGCTATCTTTAGGTCAATAAAAATATACTTGTAAATTGTATTAACTATTTCCCAAGTAATTACCACACAGTTTTAGTATAACCCTGTGCATCCGAATGTCCAAAACTTAGCTAAGGTTTTGAAAACACGACTATAGTTTAAGAATAATCAGGCCTTCTCCTGCTTGCTCAATCTGGGCCACTTTCTGGGCGACCATAGATCCAAATAATTGGTTAGCTTTTATCCTATACAACAAATTTTGGCATTTATCCATTCTCTTGTAAGGCAATGTTGGAAAGTTAAGGGGACTTATAATGATATACACATCACTCCTGTGGAGTAGATAAGTTTTGCCAAGTTGAGCACCACACAGGTCATAATTCATGGCTCAAGTTAGCAGTGTTTTTAGTATCCATACGAATATAGTACCTGCTACTTTAATGCCTAGACTGACATTTTTGTTATAACAGTGTCCCATGAGGTAGCAGTCATTTCCAAAGTCCTTTCACTTTTCCTCTATCCATCCCTCTCCACAAATAATTGCTTATATTAGAGATGTTAGTATGTGCCAAAATTCTGAAACATAATTATTATTGTTTCTATAGGTTTTTATAAGATAAAAAAGGTGCAAAGATTGTTATCACTTCATTTCTACTGAACAACCATTGAAAGGTGTCAGTAGTAATATTTATAATATAAAATGATATTCTAAAAGATTCTGGGCACATATAGAATCAATTGAATTTGGGGGAAACTGATGTTTCCCTTGTAGTTTTCTTTGTTTTGTAATAAACCGGCGACAAAATTTCTTGGTAACATGACAACGAAAATCTTGATTTTGTAAAAGTGTAATTATAAATAGGCTGTATTTCAAAGTTCCCTATGAAGGTCCTTACGAGTTTTTCTCAGTAGGAGCCTTATAGATTCATAATGATTAGAGAGTCTATAAGATTGTCTCCATCAGCAATGTAGTGCCATATTTTCTCTCTGAGAGTGCTTATCTTTTCCCTAAATCCGGTTGTGTGAAGTTTATTAACTAAATTACCAACTTCTGATGTTGTTATTGCCCTTCAGACCAACGTATTTACAAATTTATGACTCTAAGTATTAACATTTTGTGGACGCCCTCATTATAGAGGTCGGCACTTAAAATATTTCTGTTATGAGCTTCCAATGTGAGTCTCCTCCTATTTTCGTTTGTCTCTACTGTGTCAAAACTCAGATTTTTTGACTGTTTGCAGCACAGAGAACTTGGTGAGTCCCAAGTCCACTGAGGACTTTCTAAAATGAGTTTGCTAACTTTACCCACTTGTTCAGGTTTTCAGATTTCTGTGGAAACTCACATGAGATGAATTATTTTCTTTCAATTTATTTTATTTAATTTTTTTAAAGAGACAGAGTCTGACCCTGTCACCCAAGCTGAAGAGCAGTGCTGCAATCATAGCTCTCTGCAGCCTCACAGTCCTGGGCTCAGGTGATCCTTCTGCCTCAGTCTCTTTAGTGGCTTAGGTTACAAGTGTGTGCCACCAAGCCAACCTAATTCCTTCCTTCCTTCCTTCCTTCCCTCCCTCCCTCCTTCCTTCCTTTTTTTTTTTTTTTTTTTTTTTGAGGCAGGATCTTGCTATGTTGCCCAGGCTGAGTTCTCTTCTTATTCACAGTCCACTTGAGATAGAAATATTGGTTACAATATTTCTCAGGAATTTCATGGTTTCATGGTGATGGGCTCATTTCTATTGAATAAGCATTTTCCTCAGTGGTTTACAATTAATTATGAGACAGGCTTACAATTAATTATTATAGGCTTACAATGCATTATGAGACAATTCACAAAGTATTTAAATTTTGATGTGAAAAATGACCTGATGATGTGTTAAAAGAAGACTGTGAGAGAAAGAAAGAATACTGCATATTTCGAGGTCATCACCCCTAAAGTAGACCTCCTCCATCTGCAAAACCTACCATGTTGTCTAACAACAGTGCCGCCTCCTTCTTGCTGGCTGGCTTCCTGGGCTCAGTTACAATTCACCATTGGATCTCTATTCCCTTCTTTGTCATCTACTTCTCCATCCTTTTTGGGAATGGCACACTCCTTGTCTTCATTTGGAATGACCACAGCCTTCATGAGCCAACGTACTACTTCCTGGCTATGCTGGCAGGCACGGACCTTGGGATGACACTCACTACAATGCCCACAGTCCTGGGTGTCCTGGTGCTAGACCAGAGGGAGATTGCACAGGCTGCCTGTTTCATTCAGTGCTTCTTCATTCATTCACTGGCAATTGTAGAATCGGGTGTTTTGTTTGCCATGGCCTATGACCGTTTCATTGCCATCCGCACACCACTGAGGTACAGCTCTACTCTTACCAATTCACAAGTGATGAACGTAGGACTAGGGATTGTGATGAGAGGCTTTGTGGCTATTGTGCCCCTAATTCTTTCTCTCTACTCCTACCCATATTGTCATTCCTGTGTTGTCTTGCACACATTTTGTCTCCACCAAGATGTCATGAAACTCGCCTGTGCTGATATTACATTTAATCGCTTATACCCAGTTATTCTGGTTGCTTTGACATTCTTTCTAGATGCTCTGATCATTTTCTTTTCCTGTGTTCTAATCCTTAAAACAGTTATAGGCATTGCTTCCAGAGGGGAACAAACTAAAGCTCAGCACTTGTGTCTCTCATATTAGCTGTCTCCTGGTATTTTACATCACTGTAATCAGCCTGACACTCATTCATAGGTTTGGAAAACAGGTACCACATGTGGCCCACATAACCGTGAGCTATGTCCACTTTCTCTTCCCTCCCTTCATGAACCTCATTATTTGCAGCATCAAGACCGAGTGGATTCAAGGAAGCATTATTCGTCTGTTTTCTGGACACAGAAGGGCTTGACGCTTCCTTCCAGAATTTTGTCAGTTTCATGATTTCTGGGCCTTTTTTATAATTGAAGAGGACCTCAGATTTATACCTAATATCTCTTGTATCAGTGTTAGATAGGTTTTAATTATTATGTAAAGTGAAAAGCTACATTGAACAATAATGCAATGAATGTATTCATCTAATTGATATTTTAATATGCAGACAGTTATAAATACATTCATATGTAGACATAAAGCTGTATAGAGACAGACATCTATCGTCTATCTATCTATCTATCTATCTAACTAACATCTATTAATTGAGAGATACTAGGAAAGTGGAATATTATTGACTTTGGAAAGAAAAGATCCAGTTTTGGCTATATAAAAATACATAACAGTATGTGGATTGAGGGTCGTGAGATTAGAGGTTTCATTCCAAATGATACAGTGTCATTTAAAATCTCTACAGTAGAATCTGTCTGAAATCATTAATGTGCTATTTGTCTATTTCATGAATTGATTTGTTTCCTTTTATCCTGTGTTCTCTAAATGCTAGATAAAAACATTTTAATATGTCTGGAATATGAAATTAAACTTGGTATTTTCATTTTTGTATATTCAATTTATTTACTTTTTTTTTACTTTTTAAAGTGTATTTTATTTTTATTTTTTATTTTACTTTAAGTTCTAGGGCACATGTGCAGAATGTGCATGTTTGTTACATAGGTATATGCCGTGGTGGATTGCTGCATCCATCAACCCATTATCTACATTAGGTATTTCTCCTAATGCTATCCCTCCCCTTGACCCTCACCCTACTACAGGCCTGGTGTGTGATGTTTCCCTCCCTGTGTCCACGTGTTCTCATTGACCAACTCCCACTTATGAGTGAGAACATGAGGTATTTGGTTTTCTGTTTTTGTGTTAATTTGCTGAGAATGATGGTTTCCAGCTTCATCCATGTCCCTTCAAAGGACATGAGCTCATCTTTTTATGACTGCATAGTATTCCATAGTGTATATGTGCCACATTTTCTTTATCCACTCTATCATTGATGGGCATTTGAGTTGGTTCCAAGTCTTTGCTATTGTGAGCAGTGACACAATAAACATACAAGTACATGTGTCTTTATGGTAGAATGATTTATAATCCTTTGGGTATATACCCAATAATGGGATTGCTGGGTCAAATGATATTTCTAGTTCTAGATCCTTGAGGAATCATCACACTATCTTCCATAATGGTTGAACTAATTTACACTCCCACCAACAGTGTAAAATAATTCCTATTTTTCCTCATCCTCTCCAGCATCTGTTGTTTCCTGACTTTTTAACGACCACCATTCTAACTGGCTACACAATGTAGTACCTAAGCTAATTTAGCCACAGAAACAGAATCTGTGGTGTAAGTGAGGCAGAGGGTTTTTTCTCCTTCCTATGCTGTTAAATGAATACTGAGATAGAATATTTAGTTCATCTATCACACGTTAAATGGGACTTTATATTTCTGCTGAAGATTTGGGTGTGGGGATAACTCAAGGTATCAGATCAAGGGACGCATGAAGGCAGGTAACTCTAACAGAAAGGGGAAGGAGGTTGGTAAGGCTATGTTCATGAAATTATATGTAAAATACACATTTAACTTCTTTCTGCATCCATCGTCTATGTTTATGAATAATGGGTGTATAAAAGTGTGCTGTATACTCTTAGGGTTTTATGTGCCTGGGGTGCCAAATACTTTGAATTTGTAAGTATATCTTTCTTTACAATGTGTTTGAAAATCTCTATTTACTTGATTTTCAATAAGTATGTGTCATAGTGAATATCTGATAAATGTTTAAGGAAAAATTTGGTATTTACCTATTCACCAAAACTCATTAAATGCCTAATCTGTATTAGATACAGAATTATTTCCTTTTTCTACTTTTCTTGCTCAAATGCCTCCTCTTTTCTTGCTCCTATCATTTCTCTCATTTTTCCTGCCTCCACCTGGACATGCTTCATGTAGTCTGTGCTTGTGTCTGGACTAAAAATTGATATGGTCTTATCGTAATGTTGCTCATCATAATATGGGATATAGGACCCATGGTTATTTCCTATGCATTGATCTGGAGAAGTCTTCAATCCTTTTACTCTTTGCGGAAGATATCTGTAAACCTTCTGGTTCACTCTGCTGTGGCCATTTCAGTTTAGGCCAGTAAGCACATGGATGCCTTCTCTGAGTTTTCCCAGTGTGTTGGTCACAGAACAACCTGAGTAATCACTGATGAAAGAGTGAGAGCTTTATTGGTAGTCACAATTAAAAAAAAAAAACCAATACTACAGTTAAAATGTTCTTTTTATTTTTATTAGTGGATTACATTCCCTGACATATATCTGGCAGGACTCTTCAGAGTAGCCGAAGCTGCTGTTATGACCACTAGAGGGAAGAAGATACCTGTGGAGCTAATGGTCCAGGACAGTGGAGCTACAAGCAAGGAAAGTAAGTGTTAAGGAGCCCTTTTGATTGAAGGTGGGTACCTCCACCTTATAGGGACAGGACATGTGGATGCTCTTCCCAGTTTCTCCTGTTTCCCATACTCACTCCCCTGTTTCTAATAAAGCAAAGGCTAGTTAGTAAGATATCACCTTGCATTTTAAAAATGCCGTAGACTTTGAAAATGATTTAATGTATCAGTCTTTCCTTATTCCGAGAGTCCAGAAATGGCAACATTACCTTCGATTCAATGTAATGGAAAGGGCTCTTTCAAGAGACAGAGAAAAGAATAATTTAATTCTTTCCCCACACCTCCTTCTCTCTCTCTTACTCTTTCTTCTTTCCTTCCACCATCCCTATTTCTCTCTCTCATCACTCAGAAATATGTTTTGAAAGGATGCATAGCAGACAGCTAAGGCTGGTTTTCTCAAAGTAGAGAAGTGAGATTGAGAAGGTAGGGTTGCATAAGCCCTTTCAGTTTTTAGTTTATATGCATCTGTATTGTTAGAACGTTTTATAATATAAATAAAATTATTTCTCAGTTATACACTAGGTATGTAATCTGTGGATATTTCCTTATGTATGATAAGCTACACTTAACTCACTTGGAAAATTCAAACGCCTACTTCACAGTTACTAATAAGGATTAAGTGAGCTAGTGCACTTAAATTTCACATCAGTGAAATTTATCATATATACATATATACATATATATACACACACACACACACACATTGAAAGGGTTCTTACTTTGTGCTAAGAACTGTAATAAGTTCATTGATGTATTATATTATTAAGTTCTAATTTCAGCACTAGAAGGCAAACATTATCCAAATTTCATGCTGGATACCTCCAGACTCTTAAAAATAATTAAATTTCCTTTTGTCATATATTTATTCAAAAGGGTAAACTCAAACTGTGGTTTGTCCAATTTTATATATCATCCAACTAAACATGACCCTATTCTGCCATTTTACAAAGTTATTCCCTAGTTATTATGGGGATGTTGAAAGACAGAGAGGACAGGGTGCTATCCCCCATAACGGCCTCACAATTAAGCTAAGCAGTTAAATGAATCTTGCAGGGTAGTGTAGGGACCACAGGGTTGTGGGGACAGCAGAATTATAATCCCACTTTAGTTTCATTTCAAACAATCCATAAACACATAGCCCTGACCACTTACATATTATACTACACTCTATACTTTTTGTTTATATGTATAAATAAGTGGATAGAAAAATAGACTAGAAAGATAGATAGATAGATAGATACATATATACATACATACATACATAGAATAAATGCTTTCCTTCATAGCTGTCTCCCTACCTGGTTCAAAATGCTCCTCTCCACACCAAAGTACCTTGCATTCACTTAAGTCATCAATTCCTAGGTTTTATTCTGCTGTCAAAGGAAATAAAAAGATGTGAAAAACAATTTCTGACCCACAACTCGTGCTTTATAGATGACTAGATCAAAAGTTTTCAGCCACATGTTAACAGTGAGTGAATAGGAAATCTCTTTTCCCTATATCTGAGATCCCAGCTTCTAGGGCCTTGAAGTCTCACTCTTGATGCAATAGACCTTGGAAGTATTCAGGAGAGCTGAACTTGGTCAATAAAGGAGAAAAGTATGTTGGCTTCCAAAGGCACAGCTCAAACTTCTCAAGACTTCCCTAATCTTGAAGGTAAACACAGGTCTCATCTTTTTTGATAACTTCAGGGAAAGTAGACAACGACTTGCCTTGTCCTTTTTTTAGGGGAGCTTCCACTTTTCCCCTTTCTGGAGGAAATATTTATCCCCAGGTAGTTTGCACCAGTAGTTCTTTGAAGAGACTTCCACCTGGGAACAGTTAAATACCAACTACAGGGCCTTGAACTGCACACTTTCAACCCGGTCCCCACAGTTGAAAAGACCTAAGCTTGTGCCTCATTTAAGTCTTTTTTGGTCATAAAAAATTGAATTCTAATCTGTCTCTCAACCCTACAGTCACCCATTTGGTACATTAAAGATGTGTCTACTGTCTAGTATCCCTCAGGTAGTGTCAGGAATTAGTCGCTTAAATAGTCTGGAAGCAAGGAGTGGTGGCTCATGTCTGTAATCCCAGCACTTGGAGAGGTAGAGGTGGGAGGACTGCTTGAGTTCTGAAATTTGACACCATCCTGGACAACATAGCAAGACCTTGTCTCTACTAAAAAAGAAAAAAAAAAAAAATTAGCCGGGCATGGTGGTGCATACCTATAGTCCCAGCTACTCAGGAGGCCTAATTGGGAGGATCACTTGAGCTCAGGAGGTTGAGGCAGGACATGATCTGCCACTGCACTCCAGCCTGGAAGGCAGAGTGAAACCTTGTCTTACAAAAGAAAATACAAAACCAAAAACCAAAAACAAGAAAATACTCTGCAATGCACTTCCTTGATACTCTACCATATTTTGGGCAGAGGTCTGGGTTCTATACACATTATCTCATTACTGTTCACAGTTGTTAGATTAATTGTGTAATATTGATATTATTCTTCAAAAGCTGTGGCCTCAAGATGATAACTTTTATTTTCTGGACTTGTAATAGCTTTCTCTTTTACTCACCAAATTGTAACTTTCTTAGAGCAGTAACAATATAAAGTTATTGTAAATTTTCACAAACACAACAAACAATGACCCATATAGATGTTGTGAAATTGTTTATTATCAATTTATGGGAAA